CCTCATCTAGGATTTTGTTGTTCTTCACAACGCCTGGGGGGCGTGCTTCTTCCCGTTTTCAATTTTGCGTGCTGCCATCGACCAAACATAAAACAGCACGGCAACCCAAAACAGAACCACAACGACACCAACCAGGCCCAAAACGATGGCAAAACGGCAACCCAGAACAGAAACAACAACGGCCACCCAAAACAGAAAACAACTGACAGAAACCGAACACAAAAAGAACAGAAAACGGCAGTCGAAAACATGTATAACACGGATCGGACAACGAGCCGAAAACGGCGAGATGGCAATGCCACATTGGAGAAAGCACGGCCCAAAAAAAACAGAACAAACAACGTTGATCTTGAAAACGAAGAAGAAACGCCCCCAGTGCTTGCAAGAACATCTAAGATCTAGGAATCTAGGAGGCCCCTAAAGATCTCAGGAGACCCATGGGCTCTCTCCAGCACTGGCTCCTCGCCCCGCGCCGCTCCCTGACGGCCCTGGGGCCCGCGGAGGGCGCTGGACGCCTGGAGGCAGGGAGAGACGGGCCCGGGACTGCTTGCCGCCGTGCTCCGTGGAGGCGGAGGGAAGATCACTTGGACCTCATCCCAGCTGCTGCAGGGCCTGGAAGGCGGGCGTGAGGAAAAGGAGGACGGGGAGAAGGGGGACGAGGAGGAGGAGGCGGAGGCGGAGGCGGAGGCGGAGGCGGAGGCGGAGGCGGAGGCGGAGGCGGAGGCGGAGGAGGAGGCGGAGGAGGAGGAGGAGGAATAGGAAGAGGGGGAGGAGGGGGAGGAAGAGGACGATGAGGAGGAGGAGGAGGAGGAGGAGGAGGAGGAGGAGGAGGAGGAGTATCAGCCCAGGCACGCCCCCCCCCCCCCCCCCCCAGGGCGGCCAGAACGAGGGAAGCAGGCCGCGATGGAACCGACAGGCCCCTCGGCGCTCTGGGTTTCCCGCGTGCCAGCCGAGGGGCAGCCGCTCTCGCTGGCCACGTGCGCAGCCACCCCGGCTCGAAGGAGGCCCTCACCGCTGCGCGGCTCGCCGCGCCGCCAGGCGGGCCGTCCGAGCTCGCGCGCGAGCCGCTCGCGGAGAGCCTGTCGCTGCGAGCCGGTGGCAGGCCGCGGGGGGCAGACGCCGGCTACTGCTAAGGATAATGCCAATGCGAATGCTGATGCTCGTGGTGATGCGAATCCTCTACGTTCCTCGTCCGCCCTCCTCACTCCCCCTCCTTGCTGCACTCTCCTCACTCCGCCTGCTCGCTTCACCTCATCACTCCCCCTTCCGCCTCCCATTACTCGCTCCGCGCTCCTCGTCCTCCTCCTCGCTCCCCGCTCCGCGCTCCTCTTCCTCCTCATCCTCCTCCTTCTCCTTCTCCTCCTCCTCCTCCTCCTTCTCCTCCTCGCTCCTCGCTCTGCGCTCCTCCTCCCTCCTCCCTCCTCCTCCTCCTCCTCTCTCCTCCTCCTCCTTCATCCTCCTCCTCCTCCTCCTCCTCCTCCTCCTCCTCCTCCTCCTCCTCCTCCTCCTCCGCACCCCGCACTCCGCACTCCGCACTCCGCACTCCTCGCTCCTCCCCGCGCCTGTCCACCAGGCCGCGGCGCCGCCGTCGCAGTCCCAGCAGCGCCCATGCCCGTGCCCTCGTGCCATCAGGCGTGGAGCGCGATGCCCTCGCGCGCTCCCGTGCAGCCCACAGCCGAGGACCTCCTGCTGTGCTCGATCCAGCCCGGGGCGGTCGCCCAGGCCTGGAGGGGCAGATTTGACCCCCCCGCTTGTTCGCCCCACGGAGGATGAGGGGAGGGAGGGAAAAGGAAGAGGAGGAGAAGGAGGATGCGGAGGAGGAGGGTGAGGAGGAGGAGGAGGAGGAGGAGGAGGAGGAGGTGGAGGTCCGTAACCTTTTTGGTTCAAGCCATGTTGGCTCAAGGTCTCGCTGTGAGCGGGACTCCAACCCCCCGCTCCCAAGCCTGCCCGCGGCGGGCACCGAAGTGGTTCCATCAGAGGCCTGCCCGAGGCAGGGGCCACGTCTCCTTCGCGCGCGTTCCCCCAATCAGTCTCCATTTTCTCGCAGCCCGAAGTGCCGCCATGTCAGGAGGTGCAAACAGTGGTATCAGTCCAGAGACACTCGAGCAGCTCGATGCAGCCCCCACGTTTCCGAGCCAGGAGGGGCAACCAGCCAAGAGTGCTCGCGCGTCTGTTGCTTACTATGAAAGTTTGAAGTCTTTGAATGCTGCAGTGCAGAACGGCAGTGCAGAAGTCCCTTCGGAGTCTGCAAGCCCAACTTGTAGGAGTTGCTCAGAATCTCGGAGGGCCTTCGAACACAGCCACAACGAACATCGAGCATATACATAACACAAGGGAAACCACATTGTCATCAGTGGAGTCCAGAGTTGGCAACCACGCCCAGGAGATCGCCGGCCTCGGGAATCAGATGCACATCGCGCACACAACCTTAGGAATCATCTGGGAAGAGCGACCGTTGCCCAAACCCGTGGACACGCCCTTCGCGAGGAACATCGACACCACCATCATGTCCATCAAATCGAAAGGAGTGATTCCCCGTCAGGGAGTGGAAGCCCTGCCAGACATACTCGAGATGAACCGCATCGGCTCGAACGACTACACAATGGAGGGTAAGCTTGAAGGTCCTAGACACACCATGCGGATCGGAGGGAGTACGGGTGTTGCCGTGAGGAAGGTGCAGCAAGTTCGCAGTAGCTTGCGCAGCAACGACGCCCCGCACGAGAGATTCAGAGCAGCGGACGCCGACAAACAGATTCACGAGGTTCACGAGATTTCTAGTTCCAGTGATACGAACCTTCAAATGGTGCGCAGGGAGCCGTGCCTCAAGAAGATGCGTCGTAAGTGACCAGCGAACACCCCACATCAAGGCACGCAACGAGTGGAAGCCCCTCGTTCGTGTCGAGCCTCGTCCAGGAGATGAGGAACCGATCATCGCTTTCGCCCGCGCCAGCTGTTATACAGTTGGTTCGGCGCGGAGGTGTTCGCCAGCTCGGCAGCCGCGACCGAGTGGAGTATTTAGCCGATTGTTGGCTGGGTGGCGCAGTCGTTCGAGGCATGGCTGGAATCAAGTTTAGCGACGTGAAACTCTCGAGCCCTCTTTCACCAAGACCCCAAAACGCGGGACGCGAGGTCTCGTACCATCCGTTCCCTTTTCGCTAGTGGCACGATCTTCGCCGTCCAAGAGGGCCACGGGACAAGTGGAGTCTTCGAAGGTCTATTGTACCGCGCGCATAAGGAGGTGATGGCATCACCGAATTGTTGTAGTTCTTCTCCCGCGGGGGCGGGGGATCACGTTCTTGATGGGGTTCGATTCACTTAGGTCCGAGGCGCCGACGGTTATCTCCAACGTTTTGGTTTATGGTCGTGTTATTAATCTCCGCAAGGAGTTCTCCAGGGATGTTTGGATCAGCCGCTCAACGTTCACAATGTTGGTTCATCGCGAAAGCAGAAGATCGATATAGCGAACAGAATGCAAGAGGAAATTGTGTGAATAAGAAAACGCCCGAAGCCTGAGTCCCGTCATGTGGTTGTTGCTGACGATTTGAGTTGCGCCGACCACCAGCCCAGAGTTGAAGATGAGGTGGGCAGCTTGAGGAGCATGAGCGACAACAGCATGGGTAGCAGCAGCAGCAGACATAATAACATAAACTTTGTCAGGGGCACAGGAAAGGTCAGGATGCTGTGTGGACGAGTGCCTTGAAACCGCTGATAGAGCTGCAGGTAGCTGACCCGATCCACTACCAAGCCTCCCAGCGTCTCCTTACTTCCATCGACCTGTGAGTTTTGATGGCTGGATCTCCCCCTCCCCCACCCGCCCTGCGTCGCTCCTCTGCCTGCTTTCCCTCCTGCTCGTCTCTCGGACGCTCGCCCGGGCTTCGCCTTTCTCCCTCCTCTCAGGCGGCGTCTCCTGTCGCTCGCCCTCCTCCCTCCCCCGGCTCCGTGCTCGTCCTGGTCCTTGGTGTCGTTCCCTGCTCGGCCCCCTGTTGCCGCTGCTTTCCCGAGTCGTCCACCCTGCGGGCTTCTGGGCGGGTAGGGTGGGCATATACGGGCCTTCTTGGTATCGCTTACACGATGGTGCCCATGCGCACTGTGTTTCTCGCGGGCCCGTGGCGCCGACGTGCGCTCGCAACGGTGCGCCCGCAGGCCGGCTTGCCCCGACATGGCCGGTGCTGTGGGGCTCTCGCTCTCCTCCTCCTCCTCCTCCTCCTCCTCCTCCCCCTCCTCCTCCCCCTCCTCCTCCTCCTCCTCCTCCTTTTCCTCCTCCTCCTCCTCCTATTCCTCCTCCTCCTCCCTCTCGTCCTCCTCCTCCTCCTCCTCCTCGGCTCTACCCTCGTCGTGACGGGCCCCCTAAGGATGTAAAGATGGCGATGCAGGCTCGTGATGAGTTTGACGCCCGACAGGGGCGCCCGAGTGTGAGCGGAGCTGGATCGGCTAGCGATCCTGGCCCCGCTCTCACTCTCTTTCAGGATGCGCCTGCGGGTCAAACCCACTAATCCCCGAAGGCGCCGTCCCCCCTTGAAGCCACTGCCCAATTGTCTCCCTGTGGGCTGGGGCGCTGTGGCCCGCAACGCTGTTGCTCCGATTGAATCCAGCTTGAATCCTCCTCCTCCTCCTCCTCCTCCTCCTCCTCCTCCTCCTCCTCCTCCTCCTCCTCCTCCTCCTCCTCCTCCTCCTCCTCCTCCTCCTCCTCCTCCTAGGCCCTGGCCCTGGCCCAGGCCCAGGGGGAGAGCGGCCCTCTGTTTCTGTTTTCCCGCAGGACACCACCCCCGCCTGCAGATCGCTCCCACCCGCCCATGTGGGCTTCACTTCTTCAGACGATACTATACAATCCATTCTCTCTTTCGGATGCCTGGCGCGTCCATGATGTATCTTCTCGGCTGGCTTTCGCGGACATAGTGCTGTGCCCTGGGACTCAGGCCCGTCGGCGTGCGGGTGACCCCGTGACCGTGTCGAAGACGGCCAAACACATCCACCTTTCGTTCGGCTGGCAAAAAGGATCGATGACCAATCAGAGCGCGGGCTGCAGTATCTTGCTCAGGTCACGCGCCTTCAGGAGGTGCCACATCCAAGAAATCATCGAGCCCCCACGGGACCTCAGAGGCCGAGGAGGTGCCGTTCGCCTTCGCAGCTCGTATTTCGACATCCTCGCGATCACGGCGTACTTCCCGCCACCCCAGCGTCACCAAGTGGACTCCTGGAAGGCGACGGTGGCCAAGCTCACGCAGTGGATCCACCAGACGGTCCAGACCGCCAAGAGGCGCGCGCTGGTGCTCATAGGTGCGGACACGAAGTCGGGCTTCGGCAAGACGGCGGTGCTCCAGGGGATGCCCTGCTTCACGGCAGACGACCTGCACAAGGGCAGACATCAGACGGCCTTCGAGAATTACACCACGTCCGAGCTCTGGCGGGTCATGCGCATGGAGGGCCTCTCGGCGGTCGACGCATTCTTTGCGACAGGTCTCATGCCGTTTCCACGGTGCCGCAGACTGTCTCGTGCTGCACGCTGCGCTCGGCCATGAGAGACCTGCAGAAGATCCCTCATGCGGCCCCTCGCGATCATTGCCCGCTTCTCTGGCGCCTGCGCTACAGGCTGCACTTTGAGCCGCCGCAGGAAGTGGAGCCTCGATGGGACTACGACCAGGTCGCCGCACTCCTCCAGCCTGAGGGGGGCCTTACTTTCGCGGCGGAGATGGAGCGCCTGTCCGAGCGCCATGCGGGTGTTTGGAAGCAGCAGGTTCGCGCAGATGGCCCGTCGGAGGCCTGGCAGTCGTTGGTGGAGGACGTTCGAACGGCTGCACACGAAGCCTGTGAGCCCCCCGCTGCAGCTGGACCTTCTCGCACTTACAGGGAGCTTCGTGACACCTTGTTGGCTAAGCGGCGGACTCTGGGACGGCGGTGCTTAAGCGAGGAGGATCGGCTGGCGGCGCGCGCTTGTGAGCGCGAAATCAGGAGAACGAGGAAGCGACTGGATGCAGAACATGTCGAGTCTCTCCTACGCGAAGCTGTTCGCGCATCCGAGAGGGGTCACACCAACACCGCGTGGCAGCTCGCCTACCAGATTGGTGCTAGGTACCATGGTGTCCGCCGTCGTCGCTTCAACACCTTGCCGCGCTACCAGCCTACGATTGATGAGTGGACAGAGGCGATGCAGGCTCCTGCAGCCGCTGGTGGTTTCTCTGCAGCGCAGGCCCCTGAGCCCGAGTTCCCCGCGGGGGTGGCGTTGGCCCTTCGTGCCCAGGATGACCCTGATGGCGAGTGGAAGGCTGGTCGAGGCAATCCTGGTGGCGCAGCTTATGAGGACTGGACCTACACCCTCCAGGCGCTGAAGCGAGCAGCGCGGCGACGCTTCGCGCCGACCCACTCAGCCCCCGCTGAGGTCTGGTTCGGTTTGCTGCAGGCAGCGACCCGAGAGCACCGTGGCGAAGGACAGGCCCCTGATGATGAGGGTCGTCCTGGTCCCCATCGCAGACAGCCTCGCCATGTTTCTTGTCCGCGAGTTTGTGAGAGGCTGCTTGGCCTTTTTCTACAGGTTCGCCTGTCTTGCCGCGCGCCCGCCTGGTGGCACTGGTCCAGGACGTTCCAGTTGGACAAAGGGAATGATAGGAGGAGTACGAAGGCGATACGGCTGATTCATTGTTTCTGCCTTTTTGGCAAGGCCTGGTACCGCGGGCTTTTCACGAGATCTCGCAAGCCCCCCCCCCTGCCGCGCCACACGCACGGGTACGCCAAGAACAGGTCCAGACAAGGGGCCCAACTGGTTTCTCGGGTGCACTCCAGGCGTCTCAAGAAGCTCCAAATTAGCCACCTCCAGCTCAAAAAGGACATGAGTAACGCTTTCCCGAGCACGAATCACGAGACCCCCGAGCAAGTTGTAGGAGAAATCATCCCCGACATTCAGGCCCAGGGCTACTTTCTCCAGAGGCGCAAGGAGGCGGTCATGGCAATCCGATCTGGCGCCGAAAAGGCTTTCTATGTACCTAGGCACGGCGCTGGCATGGGGGACGGCAATGCATGTGAGTTGTTTGTGCGTTCCTTCGTCCGCCCGCTCGAGTCTTGGAACAGCGAGCTGCGAGACAAGGCCGACGCCTCGCTCGAGACGGCGCGAGGCGAAGTGCGGTAGCTAGAGGCTACGACGTTGATCTCTTGCCCCGTGCCCTCGTCCCTCGTCGACCTCTCCCTCCGTGACTACGCCGACGACGTGTCGCAGACGCTCCCCTTGCCCGATTGCAATCCGTTTCGCGCTGCGAGCTTCGCCAAGGCATCTTCAGATCTACTCGCTCGCAAGCTCCTGGATCAAGGGGGGTGCACCCAGAACGCCGACAAGGAATCCGTCCTCCCCGTGTTTGTCGGCCCCGGCGGCTACACCGCCACCAGGGCGGTTCTCTCGGGCCAGGTGCAGTTCCCAGGAATCCCGCAACCTCAAGCTGTGTATCTGGGAGGGGTGGAGCAGTTGACAGGAGGGGCTGGTGCGGAAGTACGAGCAAGAGTAGATGCCACACGTTCTGCCTGGTGCAAGCTCGGTAGGTTTTGGAACCAGCACCTGTCGGTGCGACTGAAACGCATGGCCTTCCTCGGGGTGGTCCACGGCGCGGCCTGCGCGGGCCTTGAGACGTACATCCTGTCGAAACGAGATTTCGCCAAGCTCGACTCGGTCATCCTGGGGTTCGCCAAGGTCGCTCTCCGTGGGGTCGCTCGCTTCTCGACGATCGATGGCCAGGAGAAAATTCGGACCCCCCCGGCGTGGAAGCTACACAAAATGCTACGCATAGCGGACACGCGCACGGAGTTGCTGGCGCGCAGGATCCGCTACTGGCAGCAGTTGGCCAAGAGCCCGAGCGACTCTGTACAGGCCGTCGCCGCTCTCTTCGGCAATTTCTCGTCGCTGGAGGACGCCCCAGCGTTCGACGACGCAGGCTGGGTCAGAGACAAGTCCATCCAACCCGCGGGCGGTGCAGCTCCAAAACGACGCGCTCACATTGAGACTCGCACCAAAGGGAAAAGATTTCTGGGATCGCGGGCACAGCATCAAAGACATTTTCTCGGACTGCCGCATCGGACTGGCGTTTGCAAACTTGGCCCCCCAGGGCCTTCGAAAGGAGCATTGGAATCAGCAGTCGCGTTCACCTCTACGGCCTCCTCGAGCCCCCGTGGCCCCTGACATACCTGAGCCTCCAGAGCCTCCACTTCAAGAGCACGTTTGCGAGCTTCCAGTGGGCGATGGGGAACCTTGCAACCGCGCCTTTACCACTCGAGCGGCCCTGAGAGCACGCCAATGTCACCATCCCGAGCATCGTTGTCGCGTTCCCCTCTTTCAGCTCGTCGTGACAAACCAGTGTTTTTACTGCTCCCCGTCCTTCTCCTCCGCGGTCCTTGCGAAGGGACACGCAATGCAGCCTCTGAAGCTCAAGAGGTGCCTCGCAGACTACAGCCCTTTCGCTCCTGCCGTCCTGAACCCAGGGACCCTCTTCTGCCCCGTGCGCGTGTGGACCTCGAGAGTGCCCACCCGCTCCATCGCGAGAGACTGATCCGCACTGGAGTTGACCAGGCTCAAGGCGAGTTTCTCACGCTGTTCGCCCTGCAGGAGCACATCCGCATAGCGCGCGCACCCCCAGCACCAGACATTCGGGTTGATGTCCACTCTCGCGGAGAGAGCGCTGAGCATTGGGACAGAGCAGCGGCAGCAGGAGCTGCGAGGAGGGGGCGCCCGCGGAGGAGATCGGACCCGCAGCATCGAGCGCGGCGCTCCCCGCCGCGGACGCCGAGGCCAATATGCGCCAGCCCCAGCGCGCCAGCAATGCGCACCGCCACCAGCAGGCGTACGGCAGCAGAACACAGTGTGGGAGGCCACCGACACCCACTTCGGGCTCGTCCAGCGCGACGTCGACCAGCTGACGAGGATGCCCCTCGATTGGGTGCAGGCGCTGGTGCCAGTGCTGGCTCGCGTTGCCCTGCGCCACGAGGCAGCCATCAATCACCTGGAGGCGGTGGCTTACAGGCACGTGCAGATGCCCGCAAAGCACGACGTGATCCAGGCGATGCAGGTGACGGCCAAGTTCTACGGCAACGAGGCGGCCCGACTTCGCAGGGATCACAAAGAGGCGATTCAGGCGGGGCAAGAGGTCCCAGAGCTGACGCAGCTCGGCATCCCGCACCCTCACGCACGGGTCGCACTGATCGGGGCGCTAGTGGGACAGGGAGAGGGAATCGGGCAGGCCAACCTACAGAAGATCACGGAGTACCGCGACCAGCTTCACCACGAGCGCCGCAGCAACGAGACGCTCGCTCAGGAGGTGAAACACTGCAGGCTACAGACGACGTTTGCGGGGGACAAGGTAAAATTGTTTTTTTGCGGTGTCGAACACGGACTTGGAGCAGACGGTCGTGAACGCCCTCGTCCAATTGGGCGGGATCCACAAGCGCGGGACCCCGCCGCGGCCCCACAACGCCAGGCTGATGCAGCTCCACTTGGACGGCCTGGACGACTGAACACCCATGCTTTGGCCAGGGACGAGGGCGGTGGTAACTTTACTGGTGCGACTCCGACTGCCACCAACTCGAGCTTGATTGGGACCTCCTCGTCGTTGATTGGGTCTCACAGTTGTCAGAGGTTAGCTCCACAGAGTTCGATGAGGCCAATGGGAATTCCGAGACAAGCGAGATCGTTGTTTCCGACGACAGGGAGGATCCAGAGGCTATCGCCCAGAGCTGATAACAACCCCCCTGAGGCCACAGTGAGCCACTTGGCACCTGTCGCTGCTGGCAGTCGCACCTCCCCCTCCTCCTCGTCTGACGCCTCCCTCCCCCTCCGCGGCATCCTAGATCTCCTGGGGCTGAGACCTCGGAACCAATAACTGTTTTGCTTTCGTCTTCGGACGGGTAGTCTCGGACCTTCGCTGGGGAAGCGCCTCTAGCCCTGCGGGTGCCTGGGGGGAATCTCTTCCAGGGCCCTTGCGGTCCCAGCGCCCCTTGTGGCTCCAGAGGCCCTCCCTGCGACTTTGAACGGGGGGTGCTTTTACCTCAGGCGGCTCCTCCCAGCGCGCTTGCGTGCTGCTGTGCTCTCCTTCTGCTCCCTTGCTTCGCTGGCTCCTCGCTTGCCCTCCTGTGCGTGCTGGCTTGGCTTGCTGGCTGGTTTGCTTTCTTCCCTGCCCCCCCTTCCGCCGCCTGGGGTTCTGGCGGCTTGTTCTTTGAATTTTGCGTCCCCCGCCCCCTCGCGCCCTACGCCCTACGGCCCAACCCTGCCTTTAAAGCGAGGGGGGCCAGCCGAGGCAGGGGGGCGGGCGGGAGCCCCGTGCCACAAGGCCACGCGCGGCCTTTTTCCTTTCAGGTTTAGAGCCACGGCGCCCGCTAGAAGGGACGTCGACGACGCAAAGGTCGGCCTGCCCCCGTGCTTTCTGCCCGTGGCCGAGTTCGAGGATGCTGTCGACACCCCTCTGATGCGCCTGCCGCCGCCGCCGCCTCCTCCTCCTCCTCCTCCCCCCCCTCCTCCTCTTCCTGGGGTGCATGGATTCAGCTCTGCATGTTTTGTTTGTTCTTCAGGGGCGCGGCTGGGGTTGACCTCCGCTGCGCTGGCCCGCCCGCGCGCAAATCGGCAGCTGCGCGGACAGCGGCGCCCGCCTTCCGCCGAGCTTCGACGCTGGAGTTCGCCGGTCGCTGGGCCCTTTCTGGTTTTGCGTTTCCTGTCGGCCCTGGGCCTGCATGCTTGCGTGCCCCGCGATTGCGGGCATGATATTGCAC